TTATATTACACAAATGTTGTCACGAATTGACAGTTCTAGGAGCAAAAAGGTGCAAAAGTGTAGAATGACTCCAGCATCCCCTTAAGAAGCTTCATGTTCGGTGAATTGAAAAAGCCTAACAGAAATCTGCTGAATTAATAAAATTCGCATGGCTGAAATGTGATAAGCACAAATTTGAAGGAATAAAGGACTAAGAGCCGCGACAGGGTGTTAATATTTCATATTTTAAATTTATTGCGAAAAATATGAAATATTTAGACATTAACACCCTGTCGCGGCTCTTAATCCTTTATTCCTTCAAATTTCTGCTGAATTAAGTCAAACTTAAGAATCCCGGACTTTGCCGATCGTTCGTATTTTCCTGTCTTGCGGGGGTCACCCGGAAACTGTCGGATGTCTGAGGCTCATTTTCGCATCCCGAACCTTGTCAGGTGTGCCGGGAGCCGTCGTCAGTGGGGTGTAAGCTCAACTATTGCGTGTCGCTGTGCAGTAGCTGATTTTTATCGCTCCGATCTGTATAGCGCATATGTTACCGCGTGTAACCTCGTCGAGTGGCTGTTGTACGCTTCAACCTCGTTCCCGGAGCCGATATAACCCCCATTATACATCGGAGTTGCGTGTGTCGGGAATGCAACGAAAGCACTTTAAGGGGTTCCGTCCAGCCGACCGCGTCTCGAGGGTCCGCCACCGTCTGTCTAATTCTTTGAATATTAGCGGGATCGGCCGCCCTCGAAAATTCCTTTCACCCCTCTCGGATGTCGCCTCGAGCGTGGCCAGAATACCGGTGGTTGTCCCGCGGCTCGTGTGTTCGACCACTTTTCTCTATTATTCAATTTTTATTTTCCGGCCCGCGCGTTGCTTTGTACGTCGTTAAATCCGACGTTGTAAAACGATTGCGACGAACGGCATTCAGTTATCGGTGACGCGGCGAGAATAGTTTTATATACGAAGAGAAAAAACACAGAGAGTTAAAATCACAAATTAAAATTTTTTTTCTATACGAAGTTTTGCTTTCGAGAAAATCGGACTGAACGATTGGAAAAGTAGTAATGTCTTTCCTGTCATTTAGCTTGCATTGATTGTCAATGAATCTGTATCACGTAAAATCGACTTGACACGATAGCTTTGTCGCAATTAAATAAAATTATAGCGGTACATTAAATCAGACAAGCTCGAAATGATCTTGATGTTACAAATAAACTCCAATCATCGACGGGCTTCAATTCAATCAAATTCTCTGTTACTTTTTTCAATAGAACGCTAGATGTTTATTCAAACTTTGAATTAATCCTCGACCCCTGAAGACGAAACGCGGGTCGCGGCTGTTACACGCGATATTTGCTCGCCCGAGACGATTTTTCAGGATGGCTCATCATTAAAGCGAGCCGTGCAAATTCATCTTAAGGAGCATTACCGCGAAAGAAAGTAATACTCGCAGCCCTCGCCGCTGTTGGCTGCGTGAGGTTTTACGTACGCTTTGTGGCGCGGCCGGTTTTGCGTAGGGGTGAGAGACCTTATCTAAAAGCCACGAAGAGGCACTAGACGAGGGAAGTACCTCTTTCGCTGCTCCCGTTCGTTAATTCCTTTTCTACCGATAATCCACTCGAAGCTCGTCGAGTTTTCGGCTACGTACGCCGCGCGCTGACTTCGAGAGATCTACAAACAGCCATTTACTTCTGCGCGAGCTTACGTAGGATGTACGACGGAACTATGTGTGACGTGGATCTTCTAGAATTCTAGATCCCCACGGATTTTAATTCTTTCTCCAAATCTCGATCCCTTCGCGATCTTTTTTACTTAACGCCCCTAATCGTGTTCTAGTTGCAAACGAGCGGTTTGGGGGATCTTTAGAGAATGGCTTGTGCACATCGAAACGCGGCT